GTTTGGTACATTAACAATGTCAGAGTTTGTTCAACTAATCCCTGTTATCGAATTTTCTAGAAGCTGTGGACTATATATGCAAAATTCAAAACAAATAGATAAAATTCAAGTTCTATAAATTAAGTTGCAATAAATTTTTTTTAGGCCTAATCCACAAGTTGAATCCTTTAACATTGCTTTATGTCGGAGACCTATAAAACTTAATTAGTGAATATTTTAATTTTTACTTACACATTAATAAAAATGCTGTAAAAAAATTTATTAATAAAAGACATAAAGAAATATTATAATAAAACTTATTTGCAAGCATGTAAACAAAAAAAAAAAATTACAAGCTTGAACTTAATCAAAAAAAGGAAAATTAACTATTTGCAAGTTACGGCCACAATTCAAACGTTAAAAAAATAAACAAAGAGCATAAAACAAAGAGGATATAATTTCTCGTTATAGGAAACATGCACATATATAAAAATAGACGAGACTCACTGAAAAAGAAAAGTGGGTCCACTTTTCGTATGTAATTGAGATAATTTTATTTCATATAACATTATAAATTATATCTCCTAAAATAAAAATATATTAGAAAATTGAAGAAAAATATGAACGATTAATTATACCTTCGAAGGACTTGTAGAGAACCTCGGCATCTTCAACATACAGGAGAAGTTCGATCTAGAACAGCTAGATTAGCCATTGATGTTCACTAGCCATCTTAATTTCTTTGTCTTCCTGTTGGGTTTTTTATTACCGTAGTTCTTATCTAATAATTAATTATTAAATTGATTTTAATTATAAACTATTTTAAAAATTTAACCTTGTTTAAAAACATAACATCAATTTACTCTTATTTGATCATTGACTATCAAGTCAATGGTCAAATAAAGCTACCCGGATATATTTTAAAAAACTGAAAAAATGTTTGAATTATTTACCTGAGTAGGGTGGCGGCTACCCGAGTAAACATGTTTTGCAGCAAATGCATTCCAAAAATTGCTGTGTCTAGAATGGTTCATTATGAAAAAAAAAATCGTCAAATTTACATTAGGTTTGGTTAATGGACGTCCTCCCCTGTGCTTGTAATTATCTTACATATAGCTCAGAAGCTATATATCATTTTTGCAACTTATTAATTATGGAACAGAGAATGAAGGAATTGGGAGCCACTGAATCATCAGCGGATGGAAAAATGCTTCGTTTGAGTGTAGAAACTGGTGGATGTTCTGGATTTCAGTATGCTTTTGATCTGGATGACAGAATCAACTCAAACGACAGGTATTACCTCTTACCAGTTGATTTTCACAGATGGATTATGTTGAGGAGCTAATCAGTTCAGCTTCCGTAGTAAGTCAAACACAATTGGAAATGAAACACGCATATTACAATTTTTGCAAGATGTTTATCGGGTAGTTTATCGGGTAAATAATTCAAAGTTTTTTGAAATATATCCGTAGTTTCATTTCTGTCCGGGTATTTTAAAATTTTTAAAAAATATCCGGTAGAGAGAGAATACTCGGATAGGTTTAATGGTCAACGGTCAAATATGAATATATTGATGTTATATTTTTAAACAAAGTTAATATTTTAAAATAATTTATAATTAAGATCAATTTAATAATTAATTATTAAATAAAGACTCTAATTGTAAAAAAAAAAACCCTTCCAGTTGTGATAAAAATGTGATGATGGATTATGGTAAATCTAGTAGTGGCGATTTATGGGAGCATGAATCCTTCGGAATTAACGCCTACACACAACTATCATGTTTGGACTTCGGACGTTACTTTTGATTTTTAAATTATTAATTATATACGTTACTGAATTACCTTCCTTTACGGATTTAGACCTCTCATATTTAAAAGTAGTTATATTATTTAATCATAATCACTTATGAATAATGAGATAAAATATATATATATATAATTTTTAATAAATAATTATAATCAAATAATATAACCACTTTTAAACATGAGAAAATTACAAATGCAGAAATTACTCAGATACAAAAGCTCACACCTGTTTTAATCGGTAAAGCTTCGTTGCTTGCAAAAACAGTGTGTGAAAACATTTAATTTATAGGAAAATATTTTTCTTATTTCGTTGAAGATAATTATCTCATTTTATAATACACTTATCGAATTTGGTGTCAACTTTTTTCATTTCTTTTTCATTTTATTTTTATTTTTATTTTTTTTTTGTAAATTTTTCATTTTTTTAAAGTGTGTACCCCACATATTTATCTCACACATGTAAGAAAATTATCTCAAACATAATTTATATCACGAGGTTCTTTTGTCCCTTTCTTCGTGCATGAAGGACAAATGGCAACATGAGCTACACTATTCCAGTGACTTAATTTCTTAGTCTAATCTCCTTTAAATAATGACATGTATCTTTTTTAAATTTTATTCTTTTAAATTATTATGCATATATTTATATTTTTTCTTTTAATCTGCATGTATTGGATTCTATCTTAATTATTATTATTATTTATTTATTTATTTAAATATTTTATTAATTTATACTTTTGTGTGATGGACAGAATATTATAAGAACGAATATGATAAGAGTAAGAAAGAATAAGAGTCTAATAAACTCATATCATATCCCTTATTCGATTAGCACTAGCTAGAAAAACAGTGTGATACAATTATATTATCTCATTTTTTGTTTAAAAGGAACTAAATAGTTTCATGAAATGATAAAAATAATAAAAATTTCATTTTAACATAATTTCATAGAATTTTTTAAAATTAATTTTTTAATTTTTTCTTTTGACTTAATTATAAATTAATTCCTACTTTAGATTTTTTTAAGAGTTCTAAAAATCATAATTTTAAATAAATTATATTAAAATATACAAAAAACTTATAAAATTTTCCAAAAAACAAATCTTACTATATAATTTTTTGATACAGAAATTAATTGCCAATTTTTATATATGTAACGCAACAATCATAATTTGAATAACATTAACAAAAAATAAATATTGCAGATTATTTAAGTTACAGAGTTGTTGTTTGATGAAAGTTATTGAATTTTTTTTGCCAAATTGATTGAATGGCTGTGGTGACTTGTAGCCAAAAGTGATGGTGGAGGTCGCAAGACAACTTCTCATGTTCTTAGCCGAGTTTAAGGAGGCAAAAGACTATTCTTGAAAAAGGAATTTCTTATAGGATAACTCCAAACTGCAAATAAGATAAAACAAGTTGCGCACCACTAGGGTTAGCTTAGTGGTGTGGGGTGTGTGTGTTAGGAGTGTGTGTAGTGTAGGGTGTTGTGTTCAATTTCTTGTAACCTCAAAAAAAAAAAAGATAAAACAAGTTGCGGTTCGACAACTGAGCTAACAAAATAAGCTTAATATTCCATTGATTTATCAAATAATGAGCAACATTATAATATAATAAATTATTCTATCCTTAAATTTTAGAGGTGGCAAAGCGAGTAACTTATCCGCCGCCATCAACCCGTTATAAAATGACCCAACTCGTCTCACACCATTTTTTAAAATAAGTTGAAAATCTCAATTCACCGTAACTATCTCTAACCGTCCTACCAAACCTCCAAAATATTGGAAAAATAATTTTTTTAAAAGAATTGTATTGCGGTATCAAATGAAAACAAACGAGATATAAAAAAATTTATTAATTTATATATTTTTAAAAAAATAAAAATTCAACACGATGAGTCAACCCACTCAATTGCTAGTTGAGCGAGGAGGATTCAAACGGGTTGATGGATTAAAAATTTCAACCCAACGATCACCATTTGTGATGAATTAAACTGATTAACCCGACGAATTGGACCGTTTTTTCACCTTTAGTTAATACCCTGTCACCAGAGCCTTATAATCACCTATATTTTAAAAATACATGCATAAAGAGAAATTAACAATTTCATTTTTAATAAGATCCGAATCTCATGTTCTATATATATTATGGATTTAGTGAGGATCCTTTTAAAGACTACAAATTATGTTATTTTAACAATTTTAATTATGTATTTCTGAGAACGCAGAATTATAATATTAAAATAATATCTTTTTTTTCTCACTTCAGAAACTGTTTGCTGATATGAAAAGAAAAAAAATATAACTTTAATATTATAACTATACATTCCAGAAAATACATGGTTAAAAAATACCAAAAAGATATAAAATTCCTTTTTACCATATATTATTCAAGAACAAAACGTGAATTTAAAAAAAAGTTTTATGTTTATCATGTAATATGATATAACATCACTTTCCTACACACACATTAAAGAGGTGGGGTCCACATATTTTTCTTTAACTTTCATCATTCCACTTTCTCTCTTCATTTTTGTGTGTTGGAAAGAACACGTAAATCAGGTAACATAACACTACTAAAATTCTTTAAAAAATGAAGAGAAAGAAAGTTCCGTTTTTGGGAACCGAGTTGAACGACAAGAGAGGGCCCTACAAAATCCTCACTCACGCCAAAAACAAACATGCCCCTTTCGCTGACTTCTTCCACCTCTTTACAGTCCCTTACTTCGCAAACCACTTCTCACCGCCCAAACTAACCAATCCACTTCTTCCATCTCCAATCACAACAATAACTTATCCACGTGTCGATACATGATTGCCACCCCATTCTAAAACAGTGGTCCATTTCACCAGGGGAAGACGCTGACACAGTACTATATAACGCCATATTCATGTTGACCACAATCCACGTGACTTTGACCCTCTGATCCGTTCGAAGCGCTTCTTCTTCTCTTCGCTCTCTCCTCTCTCTCTCTAAACCCAACCCTCATTTGATTGCTTCATTTTCAGTTTCTCTTTCTCTCTTCTCTTTCTCTGTTTCTCTCTTCAAACCCTAAGAACACGAAGGCATTCATCTGGTGCAGGCGCGAGCATTCTAGGATTCGTGCGCCTCTCATCAACATTTCGATTCGAAATGGCGAACGAATCGTTTGGATTTTTGGTTACGGAAGATTGAGAATTTTGGGATCGGGATTGGGGTTTGTTGGTTGTTATTATGTCTGATTTGGTGGCTCGAACGGGTCGGCATCAGCAGCGGTACGAGAACGGTTATCGCCTTGTTGCTGGGTACGACGTTTTTCCGATGTGACATTGCCATTGTTTGTTTCTGTGCTTTTGGATATGGTGGTGATTTTTTTTCATAATTGTTTTGAATGAGGGAGGAACCAAAAAAAGGAATAAAGAAAAAATAAATGTCATTTTCAACACGGAACTATGTGTGCCCGTAAAAGTACTTGTGGGTATTAAGAAATTACAATTTTGACTGGGTGATGGCGATGCTTTGTTGTTATTATTATTATTATTAAATTTTTGCTTGAGATAGAGCATCGGTTGATGTTTTCTTTTTCCTTTTTTTTTTGTGTTTTGGGGGAAGGGGTGTTGATGCATGTGGCTATTATGGCATTTTTAGGATAACAAAAATGAGATGAGTTAATTATAAGATCTAATCTTATCTAGATTATTAGGATTTAATATTAGATGTAACTAAAATGCCGAGCCCAACTAGTTTGAAATAAATGTGATGTTGATATATAGATTTAAATTAAAAATCGATCTTGGTTATCCAATAGTCAAGAATAACTTCTGTCATTCCTTATATATAACTACAGAGGACCTTTTTGATCACCTAGTATTAAACAAGTAGGATTTTGGAGGACCTTTTATGGTCAACTTGATACATTGAGTCAAGTATTTCTTTTTTTTCTTTTTTTGGTTTGGATTAGTGTGTATCCTGTAGCTAAATTGATTATCTATGAAGCACTAGGTCGTTTATGAAGTACGTGGACTTAAAAGAGAGAAGAGAGAAGTCATCCATGTATAATCATCAGCTGGTATCCTTTTTTATTAATGTTCTCTGTCATTGTACATAGAGTGTCCCGTCTTGCAATAGGATATGATAAATTAATCAAAACAATGGAGAAGTCTAGCGTGGTGCATTGACTTTCTGTGCTTGTCATAAAAAATACCAAAAAAATTAATTATTATGTCATCTTGACTTTTCAGATATATATTCCCATTTGAGTTTGCTAGGATCACACTTTGATCCCTTATGGTTGCATTTTGTGCAACTAATATGGTCAACACTTGTAAAGTTCAGCTGAATATAGATATCATGAGCTATCATAGACCTTATAGATTACTGTATTAAAATTTAATTATGCATGGAATCCTTGAATTATCAATAGCGTGCAGCACCCTTTACCTTTTGGTTAAAAATTTGCTTAATGCATTGAGATCCTTCTCTAGTTAGGATTTGTTCTGGTCTGGCTGGATGACCTTGCCTAGCCAACCCATATGGCTGCCTGGCAAGGCCACCACCACTTAGCACGTGAAGCACGTGACTTCCTTGTATACATATCCCCTCACACTTCCTATGCACCTTGACATTTTACACGTCAAGGGTCACGCAACTTCACACCTAGTGGGGTCCACAGTATTGGAAATAGTTATGGCGTCACACTTTGCGTAGTTGGACGGAATCTCTAATGCCTTATATCAAAGGATCTCAGCTCCCCCATATCATCATCTTCTCCATTTGCTTGCTATTGTTATTACTCTGCTGAAATTTCCCTTCACGCCATAACCGTAACCCACTTACACCTCCCCCTTTCAGCAGAGTAATAGCAATAGCAAGCAAATGGAGGTAACCCACTTACACCTCCCCCTTTCACCCTCAGTTAGCCTGAGGCCAGTATGGTGATTCTATAGAGTTTGGTCTATACCACTGCCTCTCTTGTCTCGCTCAGATCAACATACTTCACTTGTATTGGAAACAAATTCATACCTCTATACTCTGATTCAGTTCAGGATTTATTATTTCCTTATGCATGTGGTCTTTTTAATCATAATGGTGCTGCAAAATCATTTTTTTTAGCTCAATTGTAATTTTTAATCCTCTTATTTTGGAAGGAGTCTTGGTGTCTTTAAGATTGCTTCTTGTTTGCCATCTTGCAGATTATAAACTTGACTAAACCAATTGCTTTTGACTTCAGAAATTTGTGTTTTATAGATTGAATGATAAATGACCTGGAAAATGTGGTAGTCATATTTTTATGAATTTAATTGATTTGGATAGTCACCCTTAGTAATTACAAGTGGAATTTCTTTTGGTTCATTTTCCCTTATTTTTCTAATATAAATTTTAGTGCAAAAGGTTGTTTTATGTTAATCTGGATTGAGATTCATTAGATTGGTAGTTATATAAGAAAATCGAGGAAATTACATACTCCTACTGTTATTGTCATATTTTTGTTGTATTTACTCTTAAAAGGTCATGGGTTTGAATCTTGGAAACAACATCTTCGCTAATATGCAAGAGTAAGGCTGCGTATAAGAATTGCCTTCACCCCTGCCCTTGCTTGTCGGAGTTTAATGGGGAGTGATTTTTTTACACCGTTAAGTTTTGTGATCTTTTTTACTTTTGTGAATTGGAGAAATGTGTGATTTCTTGCATGTTCAAAATCATTGTTTAATCCAAATAACTAAATTTCTAAAATCATTTAATGATTATTTGATGTAATTTCATGTGAACTATTAACAATATGAATTTGGAATTTGTTAGACTTTACTAAAGAAAAAAAAAAAGAATATGGAGATGTCTGTCGATTAAATTCGTTAGTATTTTAATTGAGCAGATAGGAATTTGAATGATTGCTTGAAGATTGTATTTGTTTTTTATGTACTTGTTTTAAATAAATTACTTAAAGATCTGATGCCGGATATGCTAGTTGGGTTGCAGGTGTGTTCCATTTAGGTATAAAAGTTCTAATGACTTTGGAGACACTGGTTCCAAGAAGATTGTTGAAGTGCTTTTGATTAATTCACCCAGTGGACCAGGACTTTTATTTCCAAAGGTAAAATGTTTGGAATACAACCTTTTTGACTTACTTGAATTGGGATCATTGGTACAATTAGTTTCTGCTATTGCAAAATTATGATGGTCATGTAAAATTCCCACTGAAATTGTATTTTACAAAGCCAATGCAGTTTAATTCCTTTCAGTGATTCATGCTTTCCTTGTTTATTGATAGTATGACTTCAATCAACTTAGGTGAAGTAATTTTGATTCATATTCAATGGAATGAATCACTCCAAAGAAATAAGTGAAATTTTTTCCAATACTCCTGCTACTTTCAAAAGATTAGAATGGGGAATATTAAGTGAATCACTCCATATGTTGTTGGAGACTTGAATTCACTGTTATTGTATGCTTGATGGTTATGCAGATGATATAGTCCACTTACATTCCAACTTCCAAAAAAAACCTATATGCTAATATGTTTGGGTATTGGGGACTTATGGAACCCCATTGGTCAGTTTCTGTTTCGATTTGTATTCACATCATTCATTGTTTGTTTTATTATTATTATTATTATTATTATTGTTATTTGGGATGAGATAGTAAGATCACTGATATTTTGTTCTCAATACGACCTTTGTGGATGACAAATCGATTTGCTTTACATTTAAGGGAGGTTGGGAGAATGACGAAACTGTTGAGGAGGCAGCTGTAAGAGAAGCTATAGAAGAAGCAGGAGTTCGAGGAGACCTAATGGTGAGAAACTTATCCACATGAATGAATTTATTTAATTTTTGTGCTCTGTTAAATGGTTTTTGAGCTTCTGTAATATCATCATGGATTAATGTATTGCAATGTTTTGATGGTTCTAGTGGGAGTCTAGGAAGATTATGTGAAACTCATATCATCTTCTCATAGTATTCTTCTTTCTTGCTGTGGGTTGTCGCCTGTGGATAATTGCAATGAAGTTTTCGTCAAATGTTGTAACTTAGCATCTATGTGAAAGCACATGAAATCATATTAACATTTAAAATTTGGTGAATTTGACCCTGAAATAGGTTGAAATATTACCACTTAATTGTTATTTTATTTTTTTATGCCTGCATTTTTTTTTTAATTGAACAAAATGTTACATGGTTATGGTGATACTTGCAAACTAATGGTTGAAACTTGTGGATACCGGGCGTCAGAATTTTCTTGGATGCTATGAGTTTAGGAGTAAGACGCATCAAGATGAGTTCAGTCCTGAAGGTTTATGTAAAGCAGCAATGTTCGCCCTGTTTGTCAAGGAGGAACTTGAACTATGGCCTGAGCAAAGTACCAGAAATAGGAGTTGGCTGGCTATATCTGAAGCACTTGGAAGCCTCCGGCATGCATGGATGAGGGACGCTTTAGAATGCTTCTGTAAATGGCACGAGGATAAGTTAGTGAGTGGAACGTGATCTAGACACATTTGCTGACTACTCATCTATAGGGCATTGTATCTTTGATAAAAAAAATATTACTCTGATTATTTTAAGAAAGGTAAACTGATCAGAATTGCAAAGTAATTTTGTTTCAAGTCCCTGGATTTTTCTCTGATTATTTTTAATTCAGAGTAATTCATAACATTAAATTTTTTTTTTTGTTGAGATGCTCGTTCTTGTTCTGATCTTATTCTTTTAATCCTTATCCACGCATGCCATAAATGATGCATGACTAGGCTAAGTATGCATATTTTCATAATTCATGAGTTTAAAGATTACAGATTTAAACAGGCTAATAATAGATCAAAACAACATGAAATCGAGGAGTTAAGTAATGCATGTTTTTATAATTCATTAGTTTTAGGGCTTCAATGTAGTTAAGCATTAGAGATTTAAACAGGATAATAATTGATCAAAACTCAAACATAACCGATGTGTATACATGCATTTGTTACCCATCACTAGCTCAATTTTCAGCCGAGTAACGTGAGGTGAAAAATGCTAAAATGTTCTACCATATTTTGCATAACTGAAAATCATGCAATTATTACCCATCACTAGCTCAATTTTCAGCCGACTAACGTGAGGTGAAAAATGCTAAAATTTTCTACCATATTTTGCATAACTGAAAATCAAGGATGTGTAATTGCAGCACTGTATAATGGAACAAATTGCATTCAACACAATTGTATAATAAAGTCGAGTCAAACAAAATAAATAAATAAATTGACAGTGGAGTACAATATTTTACAATTTGTACAATAATACATAAAAAATTAATATATACCTCAAAATCTGAGATTATAATTTATCTAAAAGTTATGAATATAAATGGCCTACTGTTAGTTTTTGCTTTGCTGCGATTAAATCTCCTGTGCATATGAGCATGCTAGTTTTGCTTTGACCTCCATTAAATCTCCAGTAAATATTAGCCAGCAAGCCAACTTTTCCTTCCCACTTCACTCTTTTTACTCCCCCATTTATTAATATAAATAAATCTGCTCAAAATGTATTTCCACCTTCAAAACCAAGTTATAGTTCAGAGCACATAGCAAGGAGCTTAAAGCTTTCCACTTATCACCTTATATAATTTTTCTAACATAGCACATCAATTCTCATCAAGGACAATATCAGCAGGGTCTCCGACCCAGGGCCTCCCTTCCCTCCACTGGAACTTTATTCTTAGCTTGCCATTTGCATCTACCCCTACCACTTGTCCCTTACTGGCATGTGTCTCCATTCCCCATCCCCACCTTGGGTTCACTAATCCATCTTTGATCCTAACATTATCCCCCACTTTAAATGTCCTAACCTTTTCTATTTCCCATGCCTTACAAAGCCATAGCCTCTCCATAAAACAGAAAGCCAACCACAGATCCTCATCTTCCATCCGATACACCACCCCTATGCTTGAATGACTCACTTCCCCCCACTGGTGGGTTGGGGTTAAAACTGATGCTCTAACCTTCACCCAATCTCCAATACAGCGCTCCTCCTGTTCTACCACTTCCACTTCTGATGGGTCCAATATCCATGCTTTTGATCCCGCTGGAGTGTATATTCGAAGCTTTCCATCAGCATCAATGGCTTGTATAGTTCCAATACTTGTATAGGTATGCCCTGACCACCCAAATCTTGGTTGCTTCACATAAAGTTTAACTCTAACCTTCTGTCCAACAATGAGTTTGTGAAGTCTTTCAAGATGAGAACTTGGTCCTACCCAACTTTCTTGTTCCCCGCAAAACGCAACATAAGTACTTCCGTTCCATTCATCCCCTTCATAGTCTATTCCTAATACAACACCAACACTACCTGGCACTATTGATTTCCAATCAGTGGCGTTATCTTTCAACCTCACCCATTCTCCCACTTCAAATGTCTGTTCAATCTCCAAGTCAGCAGGATCTCCTCGCCACAATCCTAGCAAACCAAAGAATGCCACCCTCACTTCTCCATTAGCATGAATGTTGGTTACAACACCTCGAGATTCAGGCTGAGTTCCCCTCCAGCCCCACCTTGGTTCCAACAAACCAGTTCGGAACCTTACATATTGCCCGACTTTAAAGCAAGGAACCTTTTCAACTTCTGTATAATGAGTCATCATCTTGAATTTATGGAAGCAAAAAGCCAACTCCAAGTACCCAGAATCCTGAACACTATGCACAACAGCTAAACTTTCACTTCCAAAACTATTTAAGTCAGGACTTGATTTGGTCCCTAGACTTGGTTTTGACCGTACCCAATCACCAACTTCAAATCCCAGAAGCTGTTCCACATCTCCAGGAGAAACTTTCCACAAGCTATGCCTACCAGTGACCCTCACCTACAAAGAAACCAGCAAAATCAATTTTTGTATATAATAACCTAAGGATGAAATCACAACTAACCTTGTTACCAAAATGTTTTACATGAAATTTTGTTTTTTTGCCAGGCAAAAATTTCAGTCACAATATAATTTTCACATGATAGTGGAGATAAGAAGAGAAATGCAACGAAGATAAATAGAAAGTAGTTTGCTTAAATTGTCTAATCCGTGATCCTACATTTTTACAGGAGGAAAGTTGTTCTTCTGGTCTATCACCATGCAACCAATTTTCACAGTAGCTATTGCTGTGGTGATGGACAAATTCTTACACAGACTTGGTCTTTATTTTTTTTTTTATGAATGCCCAAGTCTCATCTGTGGTACCAATTAAGGGGCCCTAATAGTAGGACTCCTAGGTGGCACTCTAGTAAAGCCTGGGGGAGGGGAGAAAGGGAGATGGTTAGAGAGTGTTGGGGAGGGGATTGAACCCAAAAATAAAAAAAAAATAAAAAAAAATTAATGTCCCCAGTTCTTAACCAACTAAGCTACACCCCACCTAATAGTCAATAAATAATTAGCAACTCATATGACTCAAATTTTAGTTTGGCATCAATTTAGACCACTTATACTTGGACACAAACAGATTCAAGATTACAATTGGGCCTATGTGAAACTTTTTTATCGAACTTGAATTTAGCCTTATAATGTCACAGACTTGGATTGGCTCAGTCCTTCCAACTAGGGTGAATTGAATCTATGCAATAATCTCCCTTGATGAAGGCTAAAATACTACGAATATTTATATGGCTTTATAAGCTTTTTATACCAAACTAAAAATGTATATATTTAAACAGCAACACAGAAAACTGTATTATATCGACTTCAGTTATATTCTGGATGATACTTCAGAAGTTATTGTTTCGTTAAAAAGTCTTTAGGAGTGTGGTATCTTGCGCAAAAATTAAAGAAAATTAAATATGTTAGCTTACATTGAGAGCACCATCCATATCAATTCTTACTATTTTTCCAACCGTAGCAGGTGTTTCATTTGACCATCCAAGCTGTGGCTGAGTCACAGATGACATCACATGAATTTCTTGCCCTACCTCAAAATGGGGAACTTTCTCTACATCAGTGATCGAGCAAGGAAAAAGCTTATTCCTGAAACAAAAGGCAACACCCATATCGCCATCCTCCTCCAAGCTATGAATTACCCCAATACTGTTTTTCCTTGGAATATCCTCCCACCCATATCTTGGAGAATATACTGAAGCTTTGATTCTGACCCAATCTCCAACCTGCAGTTGGAAAAATTAACACATTAAATGAAGTTGTTAGTAAAAAATCTCACAATAAACATATTAAAAGAGCAAAAGAAAAATGGTAGTTAATGATCAACTGCAAGAATTACCACCTTAAAATCCTCCACCTTCTCCATATCTGACGGATCTGCTTGCCATGGAATGGGTTGGTTTGGTATATCTATTACTAAGAGGCCATCATTCCCAATCTCACTTATTTTTCCAACACTAAGATGGGTCTCGCTACCCCAAGCATATCTAGGTTCTGCAACAGATCGCTGCACGCATACCCGATCACCAATCTGTAAGATGAGATATTGATGACGCAAGTCATGCAATTAAGAAAGGAGAAAAATAAACTTCCATAAAATGGAAATTAACCAAGCTTTTTTCTTACCCTAAAAGGAGCAACATGCTCAACCTCCTCTGGTTCACAATGCCATGGAATTGGAAGATAGCTCAGTTCTATTAACAGACTACTGTCTGGTCTGATACAATATACAATGCCAATGCTTCCTGGTGTCACAGATCCTAATCCATACTTCGCAGTTGTAAGAGTGGGACGAATACGAACCCAGTCTCCCACCTTGAATTCCTCAACCCGTTCGACCTCTCCTGGGTCAGCTTTCCATCCTTTAGATTGTGCAGGAAACCCAACACGGATGATCCCATCATCGTCAACACATAATACTGTCCCAATGTTGTCACGTGACTGCCCAGGCCAACCAAATCTAACATAGATAATTAGTCATCAATATCACTGAAAAATGAGTGCAAGGGTTGCAAGTGCATACCATGCACGAAGCACTAGTTAACAGAAACCATATAAGCACAGGTTCTCTATTCTCTTTCCCTTCTACACAACAACCAAGCCATATTATCCCTTCTTGTGAATAAAAAAAAAAGGTTGAGAAGAAAATGCATATCAGGGTACAAGACATCCTTTAAGAAAAATGTACAAAGATGCTAACCCAATTAATTGAGCTCACCAGTCAAATTCAACATCCTTTAAGAACTACCACAGGCGCAGGGGTTTTTTGAAGGAATGACATATACCCAAGCAAATGCAATATGGTCTTATATGGATGAAGCAAAGAATACGGATAATAGGACTTGGTCACTAGAGTCCTCTGGGCATTTTATTTCCATATCTTTCTCCCAGAATCTCATTCAGTTTCCTGCAAGCCAGATTTTAGAACACACATCCAATATCAGGAATGTCACAATTTCCTGTAATTCATCTTGGATTATTACAAATGATTTGTTATAGGTCCAAAGGCCGAATATACCTTTATTTCCAAACATTTTTATGGTGTTTATAGAAGCTCCAAGACTGGCACTTATAATTTCTTTAATTGTTGAGTAGCTTGGAAGCTTTGACATAAGCTCTTTAATATATCTTTGTGGTAATGTGTTGGTCCTTATGTTTCTCACTTTTAGGAACCCCCAATGGAAACGGAGAAAAGAAAACGATGATGTTATTGATTGACTGCAATTGAAGAGAATAAGGAGAGAAACTCTCCTCCAAGGGTTTACCCTTCACAAACAATTTCCTCTTTTGCACCAGACCGGACCACTTGCGCGGATCACACCAATTACTATTTTCCTGAATGCCTCTTTTCTACCCTTATTTCCCTATTTATCTAACCAAACCTCCTCTAACTAACTAACTAACTAACTAACTGCTCCTAGCTAATTTAACTCTGCTTTATACTTTTACCCTTCTATCCTAACAATACCACCCTCTTGAAGTTTGTGAGAATGTAGATTGTTTAGATATTGTTTAATAGTCCTGTTGGGCCGGCAGGCAGAGACTGCCATTCATGGGCTAAGTCAGTAATGACATTAAGTGGGCTTAGACACCATAGTCAAATCCAAAACCTTAAGGCATTAGGTGCATAGGTCCTTCCACTTATATGGTGCTCACTTAGTCCATTCTTAACCAATGTGGGACTTCACTCACTCACACACTTGGATTCTTCAACATCTTGGTACACCCAGGCCAATCAACTATTGGCTCTAACACCACTATCAGGCAAGCCAAGGGGAGCCCAATTAGAGGAGACTATCATCAACGATATCAAGTGGGCTTAGACACCACAATCAACCATTGGCTCTGATATTCAGTCACACACTTGGTTAAGGCACTTCTTAGGAAGAAGTTTGAATTTTGTCGACAGGATTCCACTTGATGATTGATGTTTGGAATCTCCCTCATTGGACTGGAGGGGGAGATTTGTTGGGCTTTTAGCATTAAAAGGCCAAATAGGTTCAGCCTAGTAAGGAAAAGCAAGGGCTCCCACTTGAAAAAAAGGTTAGTAGCCATTTGAACATGTGTGAAGGGGAAAGAATGTGGTCCTGGGACTCACAATTGAGGGGAAGATGTTAAGGAATCCAAGTGCGAGTGGATAAAGTCTCATATTGGTAAGAATGGATTAAGTGAGCACCATATAAGTATAAGGACCCATGCACCAAATGCCTTAAAGTTTTTGGGTTTAATTATGGCATCTATGTCCACTTAATGTCATTACTCACTTGGCCCATGGAAAGCGGTCTCTCGCGGCCATGAGATCCCCCTTACCGATCTAACAAAGTGGTATTAGAGCCAATGATGGATCGGCATGTGATGATCCAAGTATTTGAATATGTGGGAAGCCAAGGTCTTGATGAGTGTAGCCAAGCATTGATGGAAGAGCCAATGTTTGATGAGAAGCCAAGCATTGATGGACCCTATGAATATTCGAAGAAACTTCTCCTTAAAAGGGAAAGAATGTGTGCTTAAGACTCATACTTGAGGGGAAGATATTGAGAAATACAAGTATCTGAGTGAGTGAAGTCTCACATTGATTAAGAATAGACTAAGTGAGCACCATATACATAGTAGAACTCATGCACCTAATGCCTTAAGGTTTTGGGTTGAGATGTGTCAGATCGCATGTTGTGGGTTTATTGCTTAGGCCCATTTGTGTGGATGGTACTCTCCCCCTAATTGGGCTCCCCATAGCCGTTGCCCAACAAATCCCACATCGTGTAAATAAGGGCCAAACCCATGTACTTTACTATTATAAATATAAGCCTTGTGTGATCACATTAGACACACAATTCATCTTTGGCCACTAAGTGAGGTTTTAGGTGATCAACAATGTCATCAAGACCAACTTTGATAGTAAACACCCAGCAACCTCTGACAACATATTTTCCTGTAAGAGCAAGAACAAAATCTAATGTGTCATTTGAGTGGAGAGGAGTCATTTCATCAATTCACCTGTGGTCCTAGGAATGAAAACAAAAGAAAGACTAAAAACAAAGGGAAAATGTTGTGACGAAAGTCGCTCAAAAAAGCATAAATAGGATAAAGGTTGCAAATGGAGCAGATACCTTAGCGAGTGTCATTTGCCCCTTCTTCACCTTGACATTAAAAATGTTTTCTTATATTTTGATTTGTAGGAAGAGGTGTACACAGAGCAACTGCCCGGCTTTAATGATCAGGGGGAGTCTGGGTTGGTGCGCAAACTCAGCATATCCTTACATGGCTTGAAGCAGCAACCTCGAGCATGGTTTAGCCATTTCAGTTTGGTTATTCAAGCTTTTGGTTTAGCTAGCAAAGAAGCCCACAACCTTGTCTTCTTTCAGCATAGTTCTTCCGGTCAATGCATTTACCTCGTCGTCTATGTTGATAACATTATCATCACAGGAAACGATCAAGTTGGAATTGAATAGCTGAAACGATACGTGTTCAATCGATTCCAGACCAAAGATCTTAGCAAACTCCGTTATTTCTTGGGCATTAAGGTGACACAACCTAGGCAAGGCATCTATCAATCAACGTTTTGTAAAAGTTAAAAAGTATTTTATATTTGGATGGTCTACATAAAAAGTGCTTTTAAGTAAAAAAGTTATTTGAATGTGAAAATTAAGGGAAATCATTTTCTCATGCCACATGAGAAGAATTATCTCATGTAGTAAAGACAATATCACAAGCGGGACCACAAGCAAGAGGAGAAAAAAAAAACAGAGGTGAGACCAATCTCTATTTTGTGTGTGAAGTAACTTGGCTTCTTTCATGTGAAATGAGAGAAATATAACCCTAAAATTAATAAACATTTTACATTCATATATATATATATATATATATATATATATATATATACTAAAAAGAACATGTGATGGTAGTAGTATGGATGGGGTGGGAGTGATTGGAGTGGGGTTGGAGCAAAATTGGATTTTCAGAAGAAAAAAAATATTTAACTTTTGGCTTGTGTTTTTGACAGAACAAAAAATAAATAATAAAACCAAATTTTATTTCTTTTTAACTTTTTCCCTTTTAAAAAGTTGCATCAAAATGCACATATTAAACAAAAAGAACTTTTATTTTGAGAAGAAGTTATTTTTTTGTTCGAAAAAAGCTCATCCAAATGCACTCTAATTGCACCAACTGTTCCTAATTACTCTGACTCCCTTTTAGTCTCCCAAGCAAATACCTTTTTACCTTCTGTTTAAATACTCTCATTTAAACAAGGTTTTAAGAGAAGAAAGAAGCAAAAGACCTTCGGGGAAGTGTGATATTTTGCAAGAGAAATGATGCAAATCTTAGCAGCCAGTTCAGCCAGAGGTTTTACCTTCACATCCAAGGAAGCACGGACACTTGTAAAAATAGGAAGAGTCGGGTCCGACACGCTTCGACACGCTCCAACATGGTGTCGGACACGCGGTTGACCATTCCGACACACGAATTTGACCGTGTCCGACACGGTCAAATGGCATTTTCGTAATTTTTTTTTTAATTTTTTTTTAATTTTTTTTTTAATTTTTTTTTAATTTATTTTTTTTAAAGTTAAAATATATTAATAAAGTTTTCACCTGATCATATCAATTTTATCTTTTGTCTTTTTTTCCCTTAAGTAGATAAGAGATCATCTCAGCATCATTGTTGTCAATTCCTATCATGCTCTTGTTGTATCTTCTTCTCTCTGATCTCTCTCTAATATGATTTGATCTCTCTATCTGATATTATATCTCTCTCTCATCCCAGTTCTTATTTTTTTATTAAAGCTTCCATCTTTATAACGTATTGATGGGTATTATTAATTTAGTTTCATTTTTTGTTAATTATTAAATATTAAATGAAACATACACTATATAAATTAAAAATATTATTTAATATTAAAACGTGTCCCAACGTGTCGAAATCCATAATTTTTTAGGATTGACGTGTCGGAGTGTCGTATCGTGTCGTGTCACGTGTCGCGTGTCGTATCGGTGCTACATAGCTCACATCTTTGTATGGAATAGCCTGTCACTGCATTTACTGCCTCATTTTCAGTCCAGCCATTGGTTTCTTTATATATACAATATCTGGTCATTAAGAAGGATATGATATGGGAATGAAAGATAAAGGTTTTGAACTGAATGTGTGTTATTTTCATTAGAGACAAGATGGCTATATATAGTACGAGATGTACGGAGACATTCTCCCATAATTAATGGAGAATTGATTTGTATAAATAAAGTGATAGATCTCTACCAAATTAATGGTAGTTGACTATGTAAATAAGAAAATGAATCTACAATATTCAGGGAAATAATATACAGGAAAATAAACAGAAAACAATTGCAAACAATATATCTTAATTCTTAAGTCAAAGAAGATATCGCAGCATCTCTCTCTAAATCAGAGGAGATATTGCAACAGGGAACTCTGTCGGGCTAATTTCTTTTCCCCTTAAATTTATTTTTCTCCTTTTCTATTCAACTAATTACTGAATTTGGAATTTTCACATTTTACCCTACCTCTCAAGAAAGACACCATCTGGTAAAAAAATAAAAATAAAAAATTTTAAGAGGAAAAGAAGAAAATGATGCAGTGAAAATACAGAAACTTAAACAAATCTCAAGCAAGCCCCGCCATGTCTCAAATCTGTTTAGGTATTTAATAAAGATCGAAGAAACCCCTCCAACATAGGCATACACATAAAGAAGCCATTATATATTATATATATACTGTTAGAATTTAGCCCATTTAGAATGCGCAGTATTAGCTGTTACTAACTCACACACGATTAGTGCTGATTAGCTCTAATCTAGGAGATGATTCCTCTTCTAATTTTTATTGTACATAATATATGCATGGGTAGACTACATACTTTTCCTCACTTTGATGTACACAAAAACTAACAATGTATGTTATCAAAAAAAAAAAAAAAAAAACTAACAATGTAGCATATATGGGATAAACAAACCTGGGATTTTTCACATCTACTTTAAGTTGTACATGTTGTCCCCTGTCTAACGGGATGACTTTTACAACTTCATTTGCCAAAACATGATACTCGCCAGAACAAAATGAAACAACGAGATTATCTTTGTCGGGAACTCTTTGCACAAAGCCAACACTCTTCTGCCGATCACCTTCCCACCCATTCATTGGATTTATGAAAGTTCTTCTAAACTTCACCCAGTCTCCCACTTCAAATCTAAAACAATCAGAAATTAAAAAAATAAAATAAAATTATAATAGACATTGATCACATTTGGGTAGAAAATAAATATCATGTGGCATCTATTGAGATTATAGTATTTAAGTAGGAGAGAGAGAGAGAGGAGGGCAAAAAAATTACTTTATTGCAATTTAAATAAATAATTACGAAAATATATAGCTGTTTCGAAACTATTTACAATTTTATTGCAGTTATTTACGCCCAAATTGGACGTGACCATTCAATTCACGCCTAACTTAGGTGTGACCCGCGAGGCATTCATGTCTAGAAAAGGCGTGACCACTTACGCCTCTTTTAGGTGCGACCAACCTCACTTCCGATGCTGACACGTGGCATTCAATAATTTGATCGTAAAATTTTAGAAGACCATAACTTTTGACTCGAGTATCCAAATTAGGTAAAAAAAAATTTGATTTCACATAACTTTTCGAGATCTAAGCAATGACATCTCATTGAAGGGAATTTTGGTTAAAATTTTTTCAAAATTTGGGATATTTTATCATAAAACTTCGGAAGGCTATAACTTTAGTCTCGGGTGCCCGAATCAGTTTTTTTTTTATTTTGATTCCGCATAACTTTTCGAGATAAACGCGTTTGATATGTTTTATATCTGTGAGTGTGAATGATGTTATTTAAGTTGAAGTTTTGTCTCTCATAAATATAGTTTGAATTTGCAACAATGGTACTATAATTATAGGGATGTTTGCTAGGAAAGTTTCTAATCATGATAATGGTTTTCTCTCCATCAATGCTACAACTCATGGTGTTGGTTCGGAAAGAACTCAGAGGCTTTTGGGTTTGTGAGAGATAAATTATACCAAATGAGGTGTCATTGCATAGATCTCAAAAAATTATGTGGAATAAAAAAAATAATACCTGATTTGGGCACTCGAGGCCAAAGTTATTGTCTTCCGAAGTTCTATGATCAAACTGTTGATTTTTTTATGCCACGTGCCAGCACCGGGTGACTGCCTTCATGGTTTAGGATGACTGCCTAGGCGTGACTGCCTTCGTGGTTACACCCAAAATGGGCGTGAGTAACTGCAATGGATTCGTAAATAGTTTCGAAACAGCTATATATTCATAATTATTTATTTAAATTGCAATAAATTAATTTTTTTCCCAAAAAAGGAGCATCTTAACCGTATTCTATTTTTTTGGTGAAGGCTCTCAACAGTATTCTATTCGATTGATATCATATTTTCAAAAACACAAAGCACCAGCACTCTTTCACACAAAGAATTAGGTCAAGTACAAGAGTAGTACTAACAGCACAAACCCAAGCCCACTAGGACAATAGACTCACTCTAATAAAGGAAATGTGCGTCTAATCTGATCACACATGGTATTCTGTTTATGATAACAAGATATATGGACTTGGGCCCTATTTACAGGGTATTATATATTTACAATAGGGTTTTATAAGAGTTATGTTGTAGGAAAAGTGATTGTGTAATGTTATAGAGATTCGTTTTGCATGCCGTAATTTTTTTTTTTTTTTCTTCAAAAAGTGTGGGTCCCACAAAATGTTGTGTGTAGGAAAGTTTGTTGTGTCATGTTAAATGACAAATGCAAACCCCTTTACAATAATATTCTATAACTATACGAATATATTTTTGTAACACTCCCTTTCAAAGTGGTGCATAAATATCATACTTGCCAAGCTTTCTACAAATATAATCAATCTGGGAACCTATAAAAGCCTTGGTGAAAATATCTGCAAGTTGATCATGGAAGTTTACGAATGCTATTTCGATCTCCACATACTGAATCTTTTCTCGAACAAAATGATAGTCAATTTCAATATGTTTGGTTCTTTCATGAAACACCGAATTAGAGGATATGTGCAATGCAGCATATTATTACAAATTAGCTTCATTGGCTGTTGCTCACATAGACTTAGTCCTTTGATCAATTGCTTTAACCAGATAAGCTCACAAGTTAAAATCCTCATTGCTCAATACTCAACTTCTGCACTTGTTCTGGCTACCAACATTTTGTTTATTGCTTTTTGAAAAAATCAAATTTTCCCCAAAGAGAACACAATAGCCTGAAGTGGAACATCTGTCTAAAGGATAGCTTTCCCAATGAGCACCTATATAGCCATAAACATCCATATACCCTTCATCTTCATATAATAAGCATTTGTATGGTGCTCCTTTGATGTATCAAAGAATGCTGACAGCTCCATCCCAATTGGAATCACATGGAGAGTCAAGGAATTCACTTGCCACACTTATACAAAAGAGATATCTGGTCCTGTTATGGTATGATAATTTAACATCGCAACTAGTCTCCAATAATGGCCAGGATTTGTCAATGGATTCCCTAGACTAGGTAGAAGTTTAACATTAAGATCCATAAGTGTATCAATAGGCTTACCTCCCTCCCCCACACAAAAAAAATGTCAATTTCCTTCAAGATATCCAAGGCATACTTCTTCCAAAGGAAGAAATGTCATGTCTAGATTATGCCACATCAATGCCTAAGAAATAATGGAGCTTGACAAAAAATTTGGTCTAAAATTGTTTTAGTTGTTCAATCCAATCTCGACCATTGCCAATAATGACAAATGTCACCAACACAAATAAGGAGATGGATGCACAAATCAGGAAAACTATTCCGATAGAATACAAAATGATTGATTTCGTTACGAGTTAAGCCAAACACATGAATAACTGAACTGAAGTGGCTAAACCAAGCTTGCAGTGATTGTTTGAAGTCATTTAATGAAACTCAAACTCCCTATGAGCAACAAAGTTGGATGATTGCTCCGTTTAAGCTTCCTCCTGCAAATCACCATGTAAGAAAGCATTTTTATTGTCAAGTTGAAAAAGTGGCTAGCGACAAACAACAAGTACAAGGAACAAGCGAACATAGACCATCTTGATGACAAGAGAGAAGGTGTCCCAATAATAAAGGTCAAAGATCCGAGTATAACTCTTGGCTACCAAATGAGCTTTAAGGCAATCAACAATCCTATCTAGACCAACTTTAACAATGAACACCTAGTGTCATTCAACAATTGATTTTCACGTAGGAGCACGAATAAGGTCTTATGTGCCATTTGAGTGCACAGTAAACATTTCATCAATCATCACCTAGCGCCCACCTTGATGGGATAATGCTTTACTTGTGGTCTTAGAAATGGAAACAGAGTAAAGACCAGAAACAAAGGGAAAATAACGTGAAGAAAGCCGATCATAATTCAAAAATGCACAAAGAGGAAAAGGATTGTGGATGGATCGGATACCTTTGCAAATAGAAGGAGGATGCATTCTATCTCGAACCCTGTGTATTTGAATGAACAACAAAAAAAGGAGGATCAACTTGTTTATTGACCGGGCTCATAAAGGAATAACGTGTATGCTTTCCCTGTTGACAAGACTCACAATCTAAAAATTTAAGACTAGACAAAAAAAGGAATCATCCTCTGGAGCTTGGAGTTCCAGTGACTTCCACAACTCCAACACATGAAAAACAATTGAAAATAAAGTTGTTGGACATCATTCGCATAGCAATTTTTGGCTGCCTTCCATACCTTATAAGTCTCAAAAGGTTGACGATGTCTGAATCAATAGATTGCCAAGGAATTCTTAGGAGCTAGACATCAACCTTCTTCCATTCAAACTGTTGGGCCTTAGGAATATCTTCGAGTTTCATGGTGAAACGACCAAAATGTCCTTGACCTGTAATCCAAATCCTAACAAAAATACACCAAGTCTTGTAGGAAACAAATCCAATCAATTTTCTTGTCGTAATGGACAAATAGTAATAGAAATGAAATGTCTTTGTCTACTTGTATAGGAAAGGAAACGTCTCAAATAATAGAATTTGAGTCTCCCATCAGAGCAGGTAACAAAGCTTGAAACATCAAATCTGAAAACCTGCAAAAAAAACAAGAGAAAGTGGTTGAAAAACACAAAAAAGGGAAAGAAACAATCACGTACCAAGGACCCACGGCCGGAGCAAGACATAACATAGTGGACTCACAACAAGAGGGGACAAGGTCTGGAGAAAGAGTGACTAGGCGATCCTTTCTGTGGTGATTCGGCAAAACAACAGCTGAAAAATGCTTCACGAGCCGACAACAAAATCTGATGGCCAAAACTCCTTCAGACCCATGGGAGCACGTGCCTTGGCCGACGATGATGGGTCTTGCATAGAAAACTTGCCTTTTAGAGACAAGTCAGATTGCACAAAAATTCGGCCAAAAGTTCACCGAAAATTGGTTGACGATAGCAAACAAAGATCTAACGTTGGCATATTGATTTGTGGACTAATGGAGGGGTGCTTGTAGGACGCACGACAATGACAACTTGCCAATATGATACGCAACAAGGAAGAAGACCGCTTGACAGTAGGCCAGTGGAATTAGGGTTTTACAGTAGCAAATACTCCCAAATCGAGAACTTTAATAGCAACTTGAAGTTAAGGAATTGTGGATCTAATCAGACCACATAAGAGATTCTATTTACAATAATGAGATATATGGGCTTTGGCTCTATTTACACGGTATTGTATAACCCCAATCAAATAGAAGGTTAAATCTTAGTACACAACGCACCCTAACTTAGTGAAGGTAGCGGTTATGACATTTGCAATTTTGCAAAGAGGTTATTTTCCAAACTTGAACTCTTGACCTTTCAGTCACAAAGGAGCAACCTTACTGCTGCTCCAAAACTTGCCCACTCCTAACCCAAATTAAATAAGGAAAAAAATTAAAAAACAAAATGAAATTAGAAAGCAATTCCTACGAGTTCTCCCTAATTTAGAGAAGTAATTAATTCAACCAAAATATGCTAAAGATTTTCTTAGATTTTCTAAAATATTCAATGAAACATTGAGGATATTATGAGATATTCTAACAAGACCTAAATGACCCAATGAAAAATAAGTAGAAAATGATGCCTCCCCTCACATTGTAGGAGAGAGATGAACTCCTCTATTCATGAGTGCCTCCATCAGATCTTCAGATATCCATTCTCGGGGAAGGGTCTCCAAGATGTCATGTAGAGTCTTGCCACTGTAATAAAACATAACCCTACCAGTCACATTAGTGCATTGGAGCTCAATGTATTTGATACATTAATGAAGGCTAATGGTCAACATTTAAATACCAGTTTCAAAGATTTGACAAAAGTTTTACAGATGTTCATAAATTGAAAAGAAAAAAAAAATGTAATCGGAATCTAATGAGAATGAGTGTATTCAACTGCAACTTTCCTTTGGTTTCTGACTTCAACATCAGCACTAGGTTTCCTTAGCATAACAATGAGCCATTCAAGATTTTCACGTATTATTTTCGCTGTCTCTGCTGCTATATGGAAAGAAGTATCACCATCATCATCCTGAGAGAACATTAACAACTTTAGAACCTTAAATCACAGACATAATGGCAAAACTAACTTCCAAAAGATAGGAGGGATGTTAACTTCCAAATATTTCTAACAACAAATTTTAGGTAAAAAAAAAAAGTTGCACCCTCTTAGCTTGGTTCATGCACATAAGCCAACCCTATACGTAAAAGTAGATAGATAAGATAAAGAGCATAAATTACAAATTAGGTTAAAAGAAACATTACATTTTACCTCCTTAAAGTTTATCCACTTTTCAATGTTAGTACATAAAGTTTATTCGTAATACTTTTTACCCCTTAACTTTGGTGCACTCTAAAACAGTAAATTGAGGGATTAAAATAAACAGCGAAATTTCATTTCTAAACTTTACCCACATTAACTTTGGTGCAATGTAAAAGCTATCAATTAAGAGGATTATAACTCCAGTCAAGTGTCACTCATGAGTGTTACGGATGCACCGAAATTCAGGAAGGGAAACTATTACAAATGAAATGTTACGTACTGACTCTTTATTTATTTTTTTAAATGTTATGTACTAACTTTAAAAAGTGGATAAACCTTAAGAGGTAAACTGTGATTTACCTAACAATTTAAATGCCTGCAGTGGCGGAAGCAATAAACTCCAACCATAATGTAAAGAACCAATTCAACCCAAAAGCTTAAGCAAGTGGGTGAGGCTACATTAATGGTTTTATATATCTCAACACGCCTCCTCACACGAGAACCCACTAGGCTTGAAGGGTGGACGATGCATAGGCCCACCTACCTGTGCGAGGAAAGAAATTCCACTAGAAAGAAAGTAGGGGGCGATGAGGATCGAATCCGGTACACCGATGCTCTGATACCATGTAAAGAACCAAGAAAAATACACTTAAAGGCTTCAAATGTTAACTTGTCCTTACCAAAAGTGAGATCATGAACAAAACAGGTACAACCAAAGACATATTGGATAGAGGATAGAGAGGAACATCTGGAAGCAACAAGTTATAAGGAATGTCATTATTAAGCACAGATGAAGGCATACAGTTAATGAGAAAACAAGAGGCAAGGACTGCAGCGGCCTAGAAGTGAAGAGGAACATGCATGTGAATAAGAAGAGTCCGTGCAATTTCAATGAGATGTCTATTTTTACTTTCAGCTACTCTATTTTGTTGTGGAGCGTGAGGACAAGTAGTTTGGTGTAAAGTACTCTGTGTGGCTAAGAAATTAGAAAAGTCAATAGAAACATGTTCCTTAGCATTATCACTACGTAAAATACGAATAAAAGCACCAAATTGAGTATGAATCTCAGCAGAAAATTTTTGATAAATAGAAAATAACTCAGAATGGTTTTTCATTAAATAAATCCAAGTATAACGTGAAAAATCATCAATAAAGGTAACAAAATACCGAAACCCTAAAACAGACACACTACGACTTGGATCCCAAATATCTGAATGAATAATTGAAAAGGGAGCATCAGCTCGTTTATTGACTCGATTGGCAAAAGAGGAGCATATGTGTTTCCCTTGTTGACATGACTGACAATCTAAAGTCTGAAGACCGGATAAAAGAGGAACCATCTTCTGCAATTTTGAAAGACTAGGATGACCAATGCGATTGTGGATGAGTTGTGGAGATTTTGTGAGAGAACAAGCAATTGAAGGACTTGGAGATTCTGTGAGAGAATAAGCTAGTAGGTGAGGCTACATTAATGGTTTTATATATCTCAACACATATCAATAGATCACAAACATTCCAGAACAGGAGACATGCATAAACTTAAGAGAAATAGTTTGAATATTCCATTCCACGTTTTTTTCAGAATATGCAATGATGGGCCTTCAATAAAGTAACCAAGCCCATTAATTAGGAATTAGTATATATAGAAGTTTAGGGTGATATTTCTATTATTCATGGATTCAGAATATTTGGAGTGGGGTTTTGGGAAAGAATCTCTTGGGATCTCTTTGGCCTAGGAATTTGGCTTTAGAGTGAGTGAGGTCTTTTAGTGTGTATTTTTTGTATTTCCTTTATATTTTTTGCAATTTCAGGTTTATAAAAATGGGGTTCCATCAATTTGGTATCAGAGCATCTTCGATCCCGGAGGTGCTTTCTGGTCAAGATTCAAAAAAAAAATAAAAAAAAAAATAAAAAAAATTTGAGCAACAGGTCCAGATCTGATACAATGGTTCCAAAATTTTATGGAGACGAAGATGGAATGAAAGCTTGGGGATGGTTGCTCGGGCTTGAACAACATTTTCAAGCAAACCAAATTCCAGAAGTTGATATGTTGAAAGAGGCTATGAAGGGGTTGAGAGGTTGTGCTCTCAGCTGGTACAAACATTGGAGTGTGCTCAGTCCCCATGTAAGTTGGCAGAGCTTTGATAGAGCATTTATAAAGAGGTATACCTGAGATCTATATAGTAGATGAAGTTGTAGTCTCAAATAATCCAGAAAAAAGGAAGAAGAAACAGAAAAAAAAAGAAGAAGAAAGAAATAACAGTGCAGAGGAAGAAGATGCAGCAGTAGAGGCAGTAGAAAAAGAAACAAAAATCAGCAAAGAAGAGACGATGACAGCGCTACAGAAAAAAGAGCTACAGAAAAAACAGACAGACGAAAATCGAAGAAAAATCAGAAGCGGAAGTGAAAGCAGAAAAAGAAGAAGTACAAGAGCAGCAGCAGCAAAAACCAGTGGCGTTCATGGCTGTTTCCATGGCTGATTTGAGTTGTATGATGAGCCTGGGCCAAAGGGCTGAGGATAGAGAGGTGTTATTGGTTGTTTTCATGCCTGTTATCAACGCAGAAGAAGAAGAAATAGAAAGAGGAACAGTCATCGAAGAAGAAGGATCAGTAATAGCAGAAGGAGAAGAAACAGAAAAAAGAAAAGAAAAAAGGGACGAAGAAGAAGGAGAAAGCAGAAAGTTGACGCTGCATAGAGGGAGAAAGGAAGAAGGGGCAGAAATGGCATTACAAGGATTGAATCATTTTTTTGACCTAATGGGCCAAGCCCAAAAGAAATCTGTGTTAAAAGAAAAGGAGATGGGTTTTATTCTACCCATGGACATAGCTTCAGCAATTCTGGTAAGCCAGGGCCCAATACTTGAAGTGATGAAATTTGAGTTGGTGGAGAAAAGAATATTGGGCCAAAGGAAAGGCCAGCTACAGGAACCCAAACCAAAAGAACAAGGAATTGAGAGACATTTTGTGTACATTCAGGAAGCTGAAATTAGCCTGTGTTTTTCAGCCAAAAATACCACAGCCAACAGAGCACTGACAGAAACAACAATTTTCAATGGTACAAGGGGCTCCAATGGCAATTTTTCAGTTTCAAGCATAATGGGGTCAATATGCTTCAAGCTATGGGACCCAGGAAGAGTGTATCTCACATTACATGTCCTCTTCCCTCACCTTGAGGACAAGGTGAATTTTGGAGGGGGAGTATTGATGGGCTTCAATAAAGTAACCAAGCCCATTAATTAGGAATTAGTATATATAGAAGTTTAGGGTGATATTTCTATTATTCATGTATTCAGAATATTTGGAGTGGGGTTTTGGGAAAGGATCTCTTGGGATCTCTTTGGCCTAGGAATTTGACTTTAGAGTGAGTGAGGTCTTTTAGTGCGTATTTTCTGTATTTCCTTTATATTTTCTGCAATTTCAGGTTTATAAAAAGGGGGTTCCATCATGCAACCTTTTGAATTTTAATAAGAATCATGTCCCTTAGATTTGTTAGCCCTCCAACCATTTTTAACCATATAAATTTTCATTAAGCTTAATTTACTGAGTGATGAAGAGGGCTGCACTGGAGACTGAACTCATAAGTCATAATAAAGATCAATTTCATATTCAATATAGACAAATAGAAACAGTATTTTATAAAGTATATGAAAAATCAAAAAGAGAAAAAAGAAATCACGAACCAATGCCCCATATCTTCTTGAAGCAAACAATACAATTACTAGAGATTTGAAACTAAGCTGTTGTGATGTAGAGATAGGCCTGTATCCCTTATTGGTTGGAGTATATCACTCTATTAGTGCTCTAGGAGGCAGACCAAAGCCCTTGAGGAGTCAACGTAGATGTGTATCTCAGGTATGATTGAGAGACAAGGAATATGAAAGGGACAGTGACTTTAGATTTCAACAAAGTAATAGCTTATAAAATGTATGAATACTAGTGTCTCTTCCATGGGTGAAGAGGGGTATATATAGGTGGGAAATATCCCCTCATGATACGAGAAAGAAAGAGTCATAACCATTTTACCCACTACCTCACTGTTGTGAGTGAAGAATTGCTCCACCTACTTGTCCGAAGGGTGAGTTATGCAAGGGGTGTGACCCCTTAATGGGCCTTTGTAAGCCAGCCCATATATATTAGGTTGTGAACACTTGTCCAGAACAGAAACTATGTCATTATATTTATTATTACACTTACGTGTAATTCTGCAATGAAATAGTGAAAATTGGAACTTGAATGAAAACCTGTAAATTACAATCTGCCCCAGAAGATATAAGCAGTCCAACACATGACTTAGCTCCCCTAGCTAAGGCTAAGTGAAGGGATATATTGTTGTGCACATTGCGGATGTTCACATCAACACCAGCAGCAAGAATAACCTACTCAGAGTAACAAAAAAACAAAAAGTTCCTTACCATTAGATACAAAATTCACATATTTCAGACACTAACACAATAATAATGAATATTTAATCATTCTAAACAAGAAGCTGGTTCACTCACCTTAACCAATTCAACATCATCAGTCATAGCAGCTGTATGTAAAGCTGTCCGTCTATTCTGTGAATCCTGAGCAGATGGATCCGCTCCTGCAGCAAGCAATATCCTAACCAATTCTCTCCCCTCTATATTTGGTATGAACAAATAAGATCAGATAATTCAAGTGATGGAAACAGAAGCAATAACACGAATGATTTTTAAAATATCAATGCATTAGCTATCAGATTTTGAAGTGTTCTTTGAAAAGATGAATGGTAAATGAGGGTTCAACAGACCAGCACCGTGTAATCAAACGTGATTTTTTTGTGAGAAGTTTTATCAGCATAAAATAAGAAAATATATTAAAAGGAAAGTGTAAAGAACCTTGAGATACACCACCCCAAAAGCTAGCTCAAAGGGTGGGAGTGCTCAAGACCTTATAAAGGTCAGATTAGTTGCCCACACAATCAATGTGAGACTATATATCTCAACACGCCCCCTCACACGAGAGCCTACTGGGCTTGAAGGGTGGACAACATACAAGCCCACCTACATGTGGAAATTCCACTGGGAGGCGGTGAAATTTCGAATGCTCTGATACCATGTAAAGAACCTTGAGATACACCACCCCAAAAGCTAGCTCAAAGGGTGGGAGTGCTCAAGACCTTATAAAGGTCAGATTAGTTGCCCACACAATCAATGTGGGACTATATATCTCAACAGAAAGTTACACCAAAATTTAGAATAAATAAAAGTAATACTAGTAACAGATTTGAATAGAAAACTATAAATACTCAATCAACAGAAAAGCCAAATGTTAAAATCATCAAGCAATGCTCGCAGATCTAGATACCACTTTTATGATCTTTCTTAGAGGCAGCAGCCATGCACAAAGCAGTACCAATAGGGCTTGGTATGTCAATTGATTCAGCAATCTCATCAGAAGTTGCAACTTCCACCCATCTTTTCACAATGGCTACATTCCATGATGCCACACACAAGTGCAGAGGTCTGCAACATCAAAAGAGTCAACCTCATGATCATATATCCACGTGAGGCAAAATGATATCTCAATTCGACATCCATCAATAACCAGAAAGCATTTAAAAATGTTGCAGACCCCGTATAAAATTTCTAATGTAAAATTCCAACAAATATGATCAGAAATAAAGCATCCGAAAATTGATAAACTAAAAGCCCAAGAAATATGATAAGAAATGAAGCAATGCTTTTAAAAGAGCAATAATACTAGCTCCAGTGATATTTTATCTAGCCATAATATGAATTAATGAATTGTAGCATCTGCTTTCAGTTTCCTCGTAGCAGCAGTAAAAAAGAATGGATTCATTACTCAAACAGTCAAACTAATGAAAACATTTTATGATGTTTACTACTCAAATAAGGAAAAAGAAGAAATCATTGTTATTCATTCAAACAGGAATAACTGGATGTTTTTATTTTCAGTTTTCCCATAGGCAAAAGCATAGTAACAAATCTTTGTAGAAAATCACAAAGAATACTTTTAGTCATTTTTCCCTATATCTCCCTTTATTTCTTTCATTACCTCTCCGTTTTTTTTTCTTCTCTTCTTTTATTTTATTTCTCTTTTTCCCTCTCTGTTTTTCTTCTCTTGTTCATTTTTTTATTGTCCTTTTTAATTTTCTTTTTCTTTTTCTTTTTTCTATTATGTATTTTTATCTTATTTATCTTTAGTTTTACTTTGTTTATTTTATTTTTTTAATTGTTTATTGTATTTTTAGTTTCTAGTGTCATTTATATATATAGGAACATAGTCTCTTACGTTACATGAGACAATTTTGTCTTATGCACACACAAAAAAGCGAGTGAGACCCACTTGTTTTCTTTCTCTCTTCTCGTTAGTGGATCTCATCCACTTTTGTGTGTTGCATGAGATAAAATGCCTCATGTAATATGAGAGACTAGATTCCCCATATATATATATATATATATATATATATATAAAATTATTTCTGCAGCCGCTTTACGTACAGCAACGACAGATGTATGGTTATGATTCCCCACATTTAATGCTTTCATCCTTTGTATGGTTATGATTCCCCGCATTTAATGCTTTCAAATATATATATGGCAAGTATTTGATTGCTGCACGTACAACAGCTGCAGAAATATAATCTCCTTATATATATATATATATATATATATATATATATATATATATATTAACTATCCTCTCTCTCTCATTTGCAACCAACCTCAACTAGTTTGGGATAAAAGTGTTGTTGATGTTGATAAGGGATATTGTCAAATCCTCAATTCCTCTTTAGAATCAGTTTTGTGTTTCCTCTTTATTAGGAGTGATTTGTTTTCCTTATTTAACTCACATGTGGCATGCGTGTGTGTGTGTCCTCTTTAGAATCAGTTTTGTGTTACCTCTTTGTTAGGAGTGATTTGTTTTCCTTATTTAACTCACATGTGTGTGTGTCCCAATCTTTGAAATACAATTCAATGTTCAGACCTCATTTGTGTGTGTGTGTCCCAATCTTTGAAATACAATTCAATGTTCAGAACTCATTTGCACAATTCATGTTTAGACCTCATTTGTGTGTGTGTGTGTGTCATTTGTGTGTGTGTGTCTCCCAATCTTTGAAATACAATTCAATGTTCAGACCTCATTTGCACAATTCAATGTTCAGACCTCATTACAATTGAAACAAGGCATCAAGAGCAAGTTCGATTTCCCTGATATTCAGCTACTGTGAAGAATGAAAAACAAACGCATCCACCATTCACAATCGTTTCCAGCCACAGCCAACACTGCAAACTACCCTTCCTGAACTCCAACCAACAAAGTAAAGGCACTAGTCAACTCAAAAGAAAATTTTTGACTAATGCACAAAGTTTCATTGCAAGAGATCCACCCACGCGCCACCAACCTATAGATTGGTGCCTCCTCTTTCTGTTTCAGGCCTTAAATTTGAAATAGAAGGTACTTCGTTTTTGGGTCACTTTTCCAAATCCTTGTCTTTCCCATGATTTCATCCACAAGCTGTTATGGCACGTTTCCCAACCACATCGTCCGCCAGAGAAAAGTTGGTGCGATAGATCACCAATCACCGGTTGAACAATAAGAACTTCCTACAACGATCACAATCGGTCAAGATGATCATCCAGGCTAAGGGCAAGATGCAACGCCCGACCGCTTCTAGGATCAATGCCTATCCCCACAAACTAACACGAGACTTCTCCACGTGCTTTGTCGTCACTCAATTTCTGGGAAAACTTCCCAGAAGGTCACCCATCTCATAATTGCTCCAAGTTAAGCATGCTTAATATGGAGTTCTTCCGTTCCGGGCTACCGAAAATTAGATGCATCTTGTTAGTATAGGTAATACCAATTAATTCTTATAAGCTATTTTCAATTGTACACTCTCATAACTGCACAGTCTCTAGAATTCTTTTCTTTCTGGTGTTGATTCGATTTATTCATGCACCCTCCAGCTGCAAGATTTTGCATGAGCCGCTCATTGTCCGTGCCTCTTTTGCACCGCCGATTACTCCTTGCCCTTGCCAGCCCTTGGGATGTTATGCAAGATGGGTTATCTCAATGGGAATATGATGAGCCACTGGAGCTATTCCCAAGAAGATATATAAGGAGGAAAACCAAAAGGAATCCAGCCTAACAACAGCATGAGGATCAACAAGACAAGGAAGTGCCAAATTGAACAGTCCAAGTAATTGATCAATCAGCCCAAGCCCAAGACAGTGTTGCCAATTTGAGAGTAATGGTGCAAAGAGCCCAAGACATTGGTGACAATCAGAGAGGTATGGTGGGCCCGAAAGAGGGTAAGAGCACAAAGTTAGTTATGCAAGAATGGGACAGCTGGCAGATGCTGAATGGCTATGAGGAAATTGGAAAGCAAAGCAACGTGAAGGAAAGTAGTTACAGTGGAGGTGAGAGTAAGGAGGGGGGTGAAGAAATTATGTATCCACTTGGGGAAGGGGAAATGACTGCTCTTCAAACGGGTATTGTGTTGTAGAGGAAGCTGTGGAATTGGAGAGTTCTGTTTAGGTATAGTGTGCTCATCTTTGTATCCTTTTTAGCATTGTGGTCAATGGAGTCTGTATTTGCTGAATTGTAGGAGTAGTAATTGTGAGTCTGAATGTGTTGTTTCGTTTTCAATGTATTTCCCTGTCACGGTGGTGAGAGGTTGGAGTCTGTTGTTAATTTTCTGTAATTAAGATATGGTGGCTCTTGAGTTCATCATGATTAATAAAATAGAGTTACAGATGTATTTCAGAAATTGTTGGTGTTCATTTGTTTGTTATAATTCTATTACAATTGATACAGCTGAAGAATCCATAGCTAGCTACTCCAAGGTACCATTAGAATATAAAAAAAAAAAAACCCGTTGAGAATAATCTCAAATATGAAGATTGGGAGATTAATAACTCATTAGTGATGGTTGGCTAACCAATTCCATGGAGCCACAGATCAGTTAAACATATTTGTATCTGAATACCACCAAGGATATTTGGGATGCTATCGAGCAAAACTATTCAAACCTAGATAACTAGGGTGTAAATAGGTCAAGCGACCTACAGGCCTGCCCTGACCTAATCTATTTAATAAATAGAATAGATTTCTTCTTTTAGAAAAGCCCATTAAAAAATTAGGCCATATGCCTATTTTAAAAAGCCTATCCTAAAAACCTGCAAGCTGGCCTATTAATTATTTTAATAAAATAATATATTTATAATAAATATTGTTCACTTTAATTTTAACCGTAATTTATTTTCTTCTATTGTGCCTCTTCAGTTTTCACACTCTTCAGCTCTCATCCCACCTTTATCTTTGCTATGTCTATATCACAAATTCACACCTAAATTCATCTTTCAGCACTGGAATTTTTCAATGCAGAGAAGGTATGATGTTAAAATTCTGCCCCATTCCCTCTCCCTCCCTTCTCTCTTTTCTATTCTGCTTCATTGTTTTAAGTTGATACTGTCCCATTTTCGCAGATTAAGATAACAAAGAAGGCTAGCACTATTGGAAAGTACGGTATGTCTTGTAACTATGATTTTAGTGAAATCTGATTTGTTTTTTTGTGTTTTTTATATTGGCTTGTATATGTTAGTTATTATGTTCCCTTATACTGCAGTGGGTTTTGTAATTGATGTGTCTAGGATAGAATGTAACAGGTTGTCTTGAATTTCTATTGTTATAATAACCCTAATTTATAAAATTTCTAATTGTATTGGATTAATGGTTTAATCGTGCATCATGAGGATTAATTAAGTGAGAGGCTTAATTAAATTTGATTAAACACTAATTAATCACATTGTAGATAAAATAAGTGAAAAACTTAGTTCAATCAACGTGGAATTGTATTTATGAAGAAAACAATTGGGTTGAAAGGATAAGTGGGCTTAAGTGGGAAAATTGGGCTTTTGTGTTGAAAGGCCTTGTCAGCCACTCCTCGCTGGGGAGCTCGTTCAAGCGAGCTGTCCAGCGGGCGTTGTAATAGCTTGTTGGTGGAGCTCGCTAGAGCGAAGGGTCCAGCGAGCAGTTGCGAAAGTTCGTTTAATTAGATGGAAACCGAGCAATTCTTCGGGGAAGAGAAAAGAAACACAGAGAACAGTGCGAGGCACTAGCAAGACGGTTCTTGCGTAATTTACACGATATGTTGCACAATTGCGTAATTCATCCACTGTTCTATGGCTTTAGGATTATTTGTCTTAAGCATCCTGTTTAAGGTATGTTTACCACGAGGAATTGCTAGGACACTGTCATTTGTATTCCGAGGACAGTGCGAGGCACTAGCAAGAATATTAGACAGATAGTTGCACATTTTGTATGCATACATACATTCATGATTATGTTGTTTATTGCTTGTTTCCTGAAGTGAACCTTGAGGTGGAGAAGTCTTCCAAGGATATCTAGTTTACTGAGATGTTTATTTCACCCCGTTTTATAGGGACCCACTTTCAGGTACTGATGGTGTTGGAGCATCTATTGGCAGAAAGCCACA